CTATTTCAAATTTGATCGTTTTAGTGCAAGAGAGTTCAAGATTATCAGCATTTATAAAAGTTCATGTTTGGTAAAAAAAATATCGAAATTAATTTAAATCTTTCAAACGGTAATAGATAGGTATAGGGAAATAGTATATGAATTTGTTGACAAAGTGATAATGAATCATAATATGATATTATATATGGGGTGTTCCAATTGAAAAATCAAAGAAGCTGCTACTTTATAGTAGAAGCGACAACGCCGCTTCGTCTAAAATAGAAACAGAAACAGAAAAGTAGCTGTTTTATAGCAGTTATTGAGGGAGTGGTGAATGTTCCAAATTCAATTTGAAAATGGCTATTTTCTTGGTGAAGAAGAATCCCTTACTCATTCATTTTCATTATTGATACTGTTCATAATAGTAATAATTTATTTCACTCAAAGTCATTATCAAAATTTTCTCTAGTATAAGTGTTCTATTTTTTCATAACTCATAGATCTTCTAATTCGCATAATAAACAAAAAAAACATTTTCCAATGAATAATTCCTCAACTCAATTATAAAGAAGAGTGATAAATATTACGAGTAATTAGATTTCTCCACCAGAGAATCTAAGTAAAACGATAGATAATGACTTTCAACTGCACCTGAAAATATCTCACCGCAAAAATACTGTTTCGATTTCAACAAAGTAATTGAAAATAAATTGTGGAGCTCAATTCTCGTTTTAATTAAAAGTTTTTTCTAGAGCTACGAAAGTAATCCTTCTGAAAGAGTTGCACTCTCCTTTGAGGGTTTAATCGCGGCCCTTTGTATAACGCCCTTTCTGATAATGGCAAAAAGAGTACCTTCGGCAGTTATTTCTCTCCATTCCGGAGAAAAGTTTTTTGCGACTTGAACGATGATTTGCTTGAATGGAGACATATTCTTTGAAATTAGTTAACTTACCTGTATATCATCATGAATTGACTAATTTCAACAACTCGATTAAAATGAATTCGACAGAAGTTGTTGATATCGACATTTTCGATTAGGTAGTTGAAATTATGTTGGAAGCGTGTCGAAGAAGACTTGTAGGTTTAGGAAAAGCAAGACCATTATAATTGCTTTTCTGAGTTTCAGTTCCACCTGCAGAATCACTGAACTGATATTGGGAAAGTTTTTTCTCTTTCAACCCCACTTTCCTGGCTCTTATTCTCCTGGCTGAATACTTTGTTGGACAACATGTATGCGGCTTCCTTGAATTTTTTCCTATACCAATGTTCCTCTCTGTGTATGATCTCAGCTTGGGACCACTCAATGTTGTATTGATGGGTTCAAACATGGGAGTGGTCCCAAGCTGAGATCATACACAGAAAGGAACATTGGTTTAGGAGAAAATTCAAGGAAGCCGCATACATGTTGTCCAACAGCCAAGCTAGCGTAGAGATACGCAACGTATGGAAACCCATCATCAAGCGAAAAATGGCCAACTCCCGCCAAACGGTCATCTCCAACGGAACCGGTGAAGCGGAAAATGGAAAGTGGGGACGAGTGAAAGTACTCGAACGATCCATAAATAGTCATCTCTCGGAGGAATCAGTCCAGTCATCACCCGAAGACGATGGTAGATACCAACAATCGAAACGTCGTGAACTAACGTGGCTTGGAATTTCTTAATTTTGTATCTTTATTTTTCATTTCTTTATTTTCATTCAATATCTTATTCAATTGTTCTATTTTTACTTGTATTTTATTTCACTGTTATTTCATTTCGCGTGTTTGCTCAATAAATTTGTTATTTTCAGCTATTCATTTTTTAATTCTTCTCTTTCAGGTGTCTCAGGGATTTCAAATCATTTTATATATTAGACAATGGAAGTCCGAACTAGTGAAATTCAAGCACAATATTATTCAAGTGTTGTTTCCTTTCGATTGTATTGAATATTCCTATACATGTTGGATATAGTGGACTACCAAGAACCTTGGTCCAAAGTAGAATAATTCTCATTATTATTTTTATAATTACCAAAATTCATTTTTGTTTGTGCATACCCTAACGGACATAAGCATTCAGCCAATCTTTGGACAGCTAAGTAAGAAAATTAATAAATTAAAGTAGTAACTAATCCCTCGACTTTCATTTTTTCCAAAGTTGGGAAATTTTGCTGGTGGGATTGGGAAAATTTGGATTCCCTCCCCCCCGGTTTTTCTTTTCGCTACGGCCCTGCAAATCATAATTTACATTTGATGTGTTTTGGGTTTGTTTTATAATGTTCAGTAACCGAAATAATGAATTTATTCCATTTGGCATTTACACACTGTATATCATTTTGTGCTAAATGTAGACTCCAAAACAGACCTCTGCGGTACACTTTGTATCGAACGCTTTGTTGTGATGCTTCAAAAGTCATGTATTTTCTGGAATGGATGGGTGATCACCATATTGGAAATGTTCGGAATGGAAAAACATAAACTAATGATCAGAATGCCGATTTCAAATCCCAGAAGAACGAAACATCATTACCATTCCCTTTTCCATTTAGTGGATTGCCATCCAGACTGATAATTATTGAAATAACTCTCGCTTATTTACACGCAATCGATTCTCTAATTGCAACCCATGGAGACCATGATTTTGTGATGTATGTTTGTAATTATGTTGGTTACTGTCAATAACCATCGTGCACAAATAAGTAATTAACGCTATAGCAACAGTTCAGTTTTGTGCAAATTAGTACATATATGTTTTGAACTGTCAATTTTACACTAATAAATTGCATATGCCTTTAATAGTATTCATGTTTCCAACAAAAACAGAAGTATTTATGTTGTTATAGGTTTTTGAATATGATAACATTGCACTCGAAAAAAAAATTACTCTATGAAAGGAAAAATGAAACTTTGTATGGTTTTCACCACTTTTAATGGTAACCAACGTTACTGACCCTATATGGGCATACTCAAACTAATACAATAAACTAACAATGATTCATTACATTCGCCAATATATACCATTCAGGTACTCGATTGAGTATCTGAATTTACAGTTCACAATGCGCGTGTTTAAAAACCGGAGAATAAATTAAATCGATTTGGTCATTTAACAGGTTGCACCCGCAATGTTTATGCTTGTAAATTTCCAAGGATACTAAATAGTTGAGTTTGCAACCCTTCCTTGCATAGTGCAGAATATGTCTACTAAAAGTGGACTAAGGGGTGAGCCCATTGGTAAACCTGAATCCTGTTAATGGAATTTGTTGTTGAACTGTAGGTAGCTCTGTTTCAGGCACAATCGAAAGCTGTTGAAACTTCAAAGGAAGTGATATGGTCTACTTTGGCTTGATCTAATATGTCTAAAATGAGGGGCTTACCCTCGTTGTACGGTATGTTGGAGAACATCATCTTAACATCGAATAAAACGAAAATTGAATGTGGCGTGGTTAGGTTCCTTATGTTTTCTACTAAAGTCAGTGAATTTTTAATGCTGTGAGGTGGGACGACATTGGTAATATTTTTGAACAACTTGTTAAGACGTATTCCTAGTTCTCTTACCGGACTATTTATATACGAAACTACCGGTCTGCAGCAACGTTAGTTACAATTAAAAGTGGTGAAAAACATAGAAATTTTCATTTCTCTTTTCATTGTGATCTCCTACCACGAAGTAACGGCTACATCCATCAATTTAATATTACTGGAGATTTTTCCCAACACCAAACCGTTATTTTAACACCTCAACACGTGTTTCGATCACCAAGTGATCATCTTCAAGGGAAACTTTAATTTGAAAGAATTTGCCTCGAAAAGAGGCAAACTATTTCAAATTTTTACGTAATCTTTTCGAATATGGCTGTGTACTGCATACATACACAAGACTAGGTTAGAACGAAAACGAATGAGTCAATTTCGGTCCCAACAAAACAAACGCTATAAATACCAACCATTCGCAATAACTTTCAATATTCCACGTTGGTTTCGAGGCTAAGGACAACATCTACCACGCCGACCTCCTGGGTTCAAATCTCATAACTATAAACTTTTTTTAATTGGTATCACGCGACTGGAACGTGACAAGGGGGCCCGAGGGGTGAGGCGGAGTCCCAAGAATAGAAATTTTCATTTTTTTTTTCATTATGATCTCCTACCACGTAGTAACGACTACATCCATCAATTTGATATTACTGGAGTTTTTCCCAACACCAAACCGTTATTTTAACACCTCAACATGTGTTTCGATCACCAAGTGATCATCTTCAAGGGAAACTTTAATTTGAAAGAATTTGCCTCGAAAAGAGGCAAACTCTTTCAAATTTCAACGTATTCTTTTCGAATATAGCTGTAACCTGCATACATACACAAGACTAGGTTAGAACGAAAACGAATGAGTCAATTTCGGTCCCAACAAAACAAACGCTATAAATACCACCCATTCGCAATAACTTTCAATATTCCACGTTGGTTTCGAGGCTAAGGACAACATCTACCACGCCGACCTCCTGGGTTCAAATCTCATAACTATAAACTTTTTTTAATTGGTATCACGCGACTGGAACGTGACAAGGGGGCCCGAGGGGTGAGGCGGAGTCCCAAGGGGGCCGGAACGTTGATGCAGGGTACTAAGGGGACCGATAGGTGAGGCAGAGTACTAAGGGGGCCGAGGGGCGGAGTTCCACGTTTGAATATCTCCGATACTAATTCCATCCTACGTCGATGACGTCACACGTTTCCCCCACTCCTGTTTGGACCAAAAATTGCGAAAAGTTTAGCTCCATAATAGCAGGGGAGCCCACGATGCCAAATGGGAATTTACTCGAGCGTCATTGAGACATACTAGGTTGCAAAGCTTAGATGATAAGAATTAGATTTAAATAAAATTGAAATAAAAATAGAAAATGACAAAATTGAGCTCATTACTAAATTCAAATATCTAGGATTCATGTTAGACAATCATCTATCAATGAATAACCATTTTACCTACATACAGAAAAAAATGTTGAAGAAATTATATTTTTTCACAAGAGTGTCGCAACACTTAACTATGCAATCACGGATAACTGTATATAAGACAATTATACAACCACATTTTGAATATTGTCCCACTCTTCCATACACAAGTGATTTGAATAAAATGAGAACACTACAAAAACTACAGAATCGCGCAATGAGGATTATTTTGAGATGTGACAGGAGTACCCATATATCTTTAATGTTAAATACTCTAGAATGGTTATCTATAGAAAGTAGGCTTACATATTTAACGATGATTTATATTTACAAAATGTTACATAACCTTCTACCCTCATATTTTGACAAATTTGTAATTTTTAATAATCAAATCCACCAGTATAATACTAGAAT